AGGGAGGGAGGGAGGGAGGGAGGGAGGGAGGATGGAGGAGAGAGAAAAGAGGAGATGAGCAGGAAGTACGCAGCACAAAATAGCCCTTAGCAGTACGCAGGCCTCATCGCAGGCAGAGCGTGGTGGTCGGTGGTACCCCAAGCCAGAGCAGAGCCCCTGCAGAGCATGGGGTAGGCAACGCGCTCCACACGGGTGTGCGCTCAGTGGCTGACTGCCTAACTACCGGGCGCCCCAGCCCAGCCGCCAGTGGAATAGAGAATGGGAGACGCAGACGCGCCGTCTCCAACGCTCCAAGTGGGATGACGGGAATGGTGGCAGAACGTTTCCCGGGAGTACTTAATGCCCCTCCAGGAGAGTGATCAATGATGAGCTCTCGAATTTTGCGGCTTACGTTCTCAATCTCGGAAGCAACCAATCACCAAAAGTTTTAGAAGTTTTGTTCGCCTTGGTGCAGAAAGAAAACACTAAAATTTTATAGAGTGCTTGAGAGACTCCGCAATTTACCGCGGCTGAGCACGGTAACTCCTTCAAAGATATCCTTCTCTGCGCTTGCAGACTTTTGACGTACCTCACCTCCGATGACGTGAGAATCGACGCGAGGGACGTTAAGGCGCTGTGGAAGTCTCTTGCGGCCTCTGATCTCGGCGTTTCCACCGCCCTGAAGTACATCGCCGCAAACGCCGCCACAATCATCAAAAAGTGAGTACAGTCGCGCTAGAGGCAAGAAGTAGGGAAGCACGGCGAGGCTGGCAGTGTTTGCCTGTCCCTTTACTGATTTCGGTCTCCGTCGCACCACAGCCGCGGCAAGGACGAGATGATCACCATCCTCAGCACGCTGGCCACCCGGATCGTTACGCAGGAAAATAGGGAAAAGGTGCAGTGTCGTTCGTGTTCGGCCGAAGTCGAACTAGCCTCGTCGCACTGGGCCCGCCTTTGCCTTACAATCTCCTTGACGTCTTGCAGCTGGCCGAGCTCAAAATCGCTGACATCGGCGACGACGTTCTTAACGGCTTTTTGGCGACAGCAGACGTCAACCTGGCCTGGGGAAACACTTACCTCGCGAGCGTCGAGAGCTACCTGGTCGAAGCGGATACCACGGTTGACCCTACTGCCTCAACTACCCCAACCACCCCCACTGCCCCCACTGGCCCCACTGTCCCCACGACTCCCACAGCCGCCCCTACGCCATCCCCCGACTCGTACCGTTTGCCCTCGAGCATTTCCCCATCTGCCTACATCCTTCACCTGGCCATCACGGGTTTTGACTCCTTTAACGGCTCCGTCACCGTTGATTTCCTTGCGTTGGACGAGGACGTGAAGTCCGTCGTGATGCACGCCTCCGATCTCACCATCGGCGTAAGTGTCGCGACAAAGTATCACTGGTATCGTTTTGATATGTTGTTCCACTGATTGTGAAAATTGATCGTTGTGTACCGTTTCTCACAGAAAGTTAGGGTGTTCGAAAAATACACCAACAAGGACGTTGTTGTCGAAGGCGTGAAGTCAAGTCCCGAGGTAGAGCAGATCAGCATCAACCTAGCGCAAGCATTGCAGCCCGGAATAACCACCTACTCTGTCGCCATCGACTACACCGGCCCCGTGAGGAGCGACTTCACGGGACTGTACCACACGACCATAGGCGACGGGTGAGTGTCGTGTCTACGATACTGTTTGCGTCAATATATACGAGCATTGGTCATTTAATCCGACGGCAAAACAAAATGATTTGTTTTTTCTGGCGCAGGGACCTGATCGGTACGCAAATGTACCCGGCGTACGCGCGACGCGTCTTGCCGTGCTTTGACGAGCCCCACTTCCGCACCCCCTTCAAGCTGAACGTGTTGCACGAGCAGAACCTGGTCGCGGTGTCGAGCAGCGCCAACCTGGAGGCACGACGCGCGCTGTGAGTCGCCTGGACGACGCCCTGGCCGGCTGCCCTTCTGACCGATCCTAACAACCGCGAGCCTAACCTCTTTTCGCGCCTTCATCCCTCAAGGCGACGGGGCCTGCGCACTGCCATCGTGGAGGACGACTACGAGGTCACGACGAACATCCCGCTCGCGCAGGTCGGCCTCTTCCTCGTGGACTACAGGGAGTACAACAAGGTGGCGACCGACGGCATGACTCTCGTCGGCCGGAAGGAGCTCGTCGAGGCCGCCAAGTCGTCCGGCGTGTTGGCCCAGGCGCAGACCCTCATGTGGTGGTTCGGCAACGCCAGCGGCGTGGCCGCGGCGCCCGCGCACCTCAACCTCCTGGGCCTCTCCAGCAGCCTGGATGACGCCGTCAGCACCTGGGGACTCGTTGCCATGCGGTATGGACCAAGTGCCAAGTGCGGTAATCGATCCTCCATCTGCCTCTGCGGCCAGCCCATCGTCCTGACAGTGACCTTCTTGCAGCGAGCGTAACATGGCCGACATGGACACATCCCCGTCGTCGGGCGACAGCGAGCAGAACTGGCTCACGCAGCTGGCGCGCACGCTCTCCCAGATCTGGTTCGGCGGAATGGTGTCCCCCGACTGGTGGAGCTCGGCCTGGCTCAGTGAAGGCTTCGCCACCTTCTTCCAGTACTCCGTCCCGGCGACGGTGAGTGCGAGCACCTGGAGGGGCAGAGGCCGTGCAGGAGCACAGGTTTGACTTACCGGGCCGCCGATCTGCACACAGCTGCAGCCGACATGGCAGCTGCCCTATCAGATGTACACGCGCGCCATCGCCCCCGCGCTGCACGCAGACTCGTTCGAGGGCGCGCACCCGCTCAACGCCGACGTCAGCGGCTCCCAGGAGACCATCGCCGACGCACTCGACGTCATTGCTTCCGGAAAAGGTAAAAAAACACATTAGACAAAAACAAAAACAACAACACTCGCGACAGTTGTCGCCATCGATGAGGAAACCCGCTCACCTCCACCCTTCCCGCCATCGTCCGCAGGTGGCGCCGTGGTGCAGATGCTGAGCCACGTCCTGGAAGACAACAACGCCTTCGACGCCGGCCTCAAGGCGTTCTTCAAGGACGGGTGCGTGTGTCGTCGTCGTCGTCATCGTCGTGAACATGCGTGTCAGCGGAGGTCCCGTTCGCGCTCTTTTTCTATCGTTGTGTCTCTATCCGTAGGGAGAAACTCCCCCACACAACCGTCCCGGACGAGCTGTACGCCGCCATGGACAAGGCCGCGAAGCAGGTCAACGCCGACACCAAACTGCCCGCCGGCGCGACGCTCAAGGAGGCCATCGGCACCTGGGTGGACGGCAGTGGATACCCGGTGGTCAACGTCATCCGCGACTACAACGCCAAGAAGGCTACCATCAGCCAGGCATGCATACCCCCCCCCCCCCGCTATCTCGGGACAGGTTGGAACTCTCACGCTTTGACCGCGACACTCGTGCCTCCCGCAGGAGCGCTTCCTGCTGCACAGCCCGTCCTCGTCGCAGCAGAGTCTGTCGGGCAGCTGGTGGGTGCCGCTGTCCTACGCGCTCCGCGCCGAGTACATGAGCATCGACTACACGCCGAAGGTGCCCTTGAAGACGTGGCTGGCACCGGGGCAAGACCTCACCATCGACCTCGCGGACAACAGCGATTGGCTGCTCGTCAACGCTGACCGGAGAGGTAAACCTTCTTCCCTCCGTCTCTTCACTGATTTAGTGTGCAGAGCTTGACCTACATTTCGCTTCGTCCTCGATTCGCGCAGAGTTCTTCCGCGTCAACTACGACATCCGCAACTGGAAGATGCTCGGCGACTACATGCTCGAGTACCACCAGCTGGTGGAGACGGTGGCGCGCGCCATGCTGGTGGACGACGCGCTGGCGCTTTCGCGCTCGGGCCGCCTGGATTACCCCGTCGCCCTCAAGTTCCTGGACTACCTCCGGTTGGACGTGGACCTGGCGCCTTGGGAGGCAGCGCGGCGAGGCTTCGACTACCTGGACGCGCAGCTGCTCGGCTCCCGGCACGAGGCCGTGTACAAGGTGGGGGTGGTGACCTCGGGCGAGGAGCACCAGAGCCACCGATGGATGAGAAAATCAAAGTATGACCGTGTCCGTGCAGACGTGGCTGCTCCAGCTGCTGGATGCGGCCGTAGAGGAGGCGGGCTTCGTACCGGAGGACAGGGACTCGCACACGCAGCGGCTGACCAGGGCCGTGGTGACGGCGTGGGCCTGCGACCTGGGCCAGGAGTCCTGCACCCGCTACGCGAAGCGCGACTTCGACACCTGGATCACCGAACCCAACGGGTGAGTGCGCCGCGGACCACGTCGCACTTCGACCTGGCTACGCCAAACACACCCAGCCTGACCGCAACTCTCTGCCGACAGCGTGAGCCACGACACCCTGGCGGCCGTGGTGTGCGTCGGGCTGCGTAACGGTGACGCCGACACGCTCAAGACCGTCACCGCCAGGCTGGCCGCCGAGGAGGACGACGCCCAGCGAGCAGCCATCATCCAGGGACTCGGATGCGGCGGCAACGTGCAGTAAGCGTTGGGGCAAGGGTGGAGGAGGGGGGGGGGAGCGCGCTTACGAGGCGCCGCGACGACTCAGGGCCTACGATGTTGACGCCGCGGTGCGCCGCGTGCCTGCCCTTGTCCACAGCGCCCTGTTCGACCTCACGGTCCGCCCTGGGCTGCGACGCGGCGAGCCCGCCCTCCTGTGGGGCTCCGCGACACGCTTCCGGCCCGCAGACGTGACCCAGAGCATGCACTGCTTCACGAACATGCACAAGCGCGTCGCCGCTCAGTGAGTACGACCACCACCACCAACGAGTGCGCGAGGTCGATTGCATATACCTTCAGGCGCTCAGCTGTATGCCACCTACACAACGGCCACGGCAATTACTCTGTCCGCCAGGTACGGCAGGGCGAGCATCGTGGACATCGCGAGGGTCCTGGCCAACCGCGTTACCACCCAGACTCAGCTTGACCTGGTATGGGACTCGTCACAAATCTCAAAGCTCGGGGATGCCTGTCGTGCTCACCAAACCTTTCCCTGTGCAGCTCACCGCGCTGGTGTCGGACATCGATGCGTCGCTCCTGCAGGGCGCACTGCTCCTCGCGAAGGACAACGTGGCCTGGAGGGAGGACAACCTGGATGCCGTCGCCGACGTGCTTTACGAGCTGACCAACACCCCGGACCCGGACCTACCCACGTCCCCGACGACCTCGACCACGACCACGACGACGATGACCATCCCTACGGGCCCCGTGCCCACGGACCCCGCCACCGTCACCGCCTCCACAGGCACAACCTCCACCTGGACCCTGCCGCCCTCCGTGTCCACGTCCACCGCCACACTGCCGACGTTGGACCCCGTCACTGTTCCCCCGGGAACCGGGCCCACCGACCCTGCGACTGGCAGCACGGCGTCGACTGGAACCTACTTTACCCTTCCCCCGACTAGTCCGACAACCCCGGTCACCCTGCCGCCTGTGCCAACCGGTGGGCCCTCTTCGACTTCGCCTGCTACTACTGCAACCCCTGGTCCACCGCCAACCCCGGTGGTGCCAACAAAGAAGCCGAACTCATCCAGCGGTCTCGCCACGAACACAGCTCTGCTGTTAGCTGGAATTGTCGCCATCATTTTACATTAAACCATCGCCGCATTATTTTTTAATAAATGGAAAAGACAGCGGTTTCTTTCTTATCTTTCCCACTTACACCCTTTGTCTACCCTTTGTCCTACACGCCCTCCTCAAATAGTCTATTCAGCTCCCCGGCTTTGAGGACCATGGACTTCTGTTTTAGTTGAGATGCAACTGACCGCGCTTCGACATTATCGTTCCCAATTGGTCATGAGATTCCCGCCTCTACATCACACCGGTCGAGGGGGTAGAGGTTGTACCAATCGGGTACCTTTATGTTCTATCCGCTCTTCTTCTTCCTCTATTCGCCGAAAAAACGCTATCATCTAAAGAGATTAAAGGCACCCCCCCCCCCAAGGTGCAATAGAGATAGG